CATGCTTGAGAGGTTCTCCCTGCATTCCCTATAGGAGCGGCAGCTCGGATCTCCGTAAGCTGACGAGGAGAACAAAGCTGCAGTGTCCCCTGCGCGCGGCGCGGATCCCACGTAAGCCGTGCTAACGTTGCTATCAATTTGTTAAAACACATTCTGATTACTGAAGGGCAAGAAAAAAACCCCTCAGCAAAGATTAGACGTGAATAATCACAGAAAAATGCTCCTTTTCATACGGCGCTCGGTGCTGATCCTTGCACGACCACCGTGACGCAGTGCAGCTCGGCTCTCCGATGGGAACCACGCAGACACACAGCAGCTCTGGGTCCCTTTGGCCACAGCTGTGTGAGCACCAATGCTGCCATCACGACCCGTCTGACCAGTCCGGGGATGGGCGCCTCGCACCCACAGACTGGTGCCAGATAAATGCTGGAGATAGAGGGTGGGGAGTCTCAGCCTGCTGGAATCCCAAGCATGCACTGCAGGACCCAAGGAGGGCGAACGCTCTGCTCCCCTCGGCCATGTTGGGCTGCACTGCACAGCTGGGGCTCATCCACGCTTCCCTGCTCTTCCTCCCTCCTCTCTTTGATACCCAAGCAGAGCAGACCTGGTGCAGCACGCTGAGATGAGAGCTGAGCACGCAGCAGCTCCACGCTTTACCTCCACGCTTGCTAATTAGTTCCTCCACTAGGAATTAAAATAAACAAACACACGGAAGGACAGCAAGAACGAATTATTCCCCAGGATCACACAGGAAAGGGTGGAAGGCTTCCATGGTCAGGGCTCTAGTCTGCAACTTCAGAGAACCACGTTTGGGCTCTTGAAAAAATTAAGACGGATTGCACGCATATTTTTTTGGTCCAAGATCACAGATCTCAGAATAGTGCTGAACAAGGAGGAATGGGTCACGCTGGCCTCTGCCTCACAGAGGTGGCACAGAGCCCCCAGGTCTGCCCCACTGAGCCCCCACACCATGGCACTGCTACAAAGCAAAGCCTCAGGGCCACCTCTCTGGGCACGGCTGCATGCACACCTATGGAGCACACTGCAAGCAGGCAGTCTGCACTGTGGCTGGAGAATGGGCACTGTGAGCTGCATCCAGCCACCCAGCAGAGCCTGGGGGGGGGGGGGGAGGAACAGCTCGAGCAGCACAGCAGGAGGGGGAAAGTGGAGGATCTGCCAGGTGAGTGGAGAAAAAAGGGCTGCGTTGCAAAGGTTTGGAGTGCTGGGCACAAAATGGAGCACGGGAGCCCCGGTTTTGGGCCAGGAACTTCAGCGAGGAGCAGAAGAAATGTCACCCTGCAATCCAGTGCCCACAGGAGAGGCCTCCCCAGAGGCACTGAGTTTTCCCCATCAGAGCAGCTGCTGCTGCCCACATCCCTCCCCACAAGCAGCTCGTGCCGACCGTCCACCACTGGGTCCCATGGGCCCAGGAGCAGCCAAAGCACTGCTCTGCAGGAGCATCTCCAGGGCACCTCGGCCCCATCCTATGGGCAAACCTCACCCGGAGCCCCTCTCCTGCTGATTGACTCACCAGCCACACGCCAACAAGCAACCCCAGCTGGCTTCACCGAACCTCCCCTGTAAGAGCTGCTCTTTGCTTGGAACAAAGCAAAATATTCATTTAGAAACATCTAATTAAGCAGTAAGTCATGACAAGGTATATGAAACTCGGAGATAACACATGCCTGGGAGGCACCGGGAAGGCTGAGACAAAGCCCAGCACCTCCACCAGCACCTCCGTGTGTTATCTCACATGAACACACACCTGGGTTTATCCCGGCGCAATTACAGGACATTAAAAATATAATTTTAATGGAGGAACGGCGATCTGGACTCAGTTCAGAGCGAAAAACTTTCTTTCAAGTTTTTGCTGTTTGATAGGAGGTGTTCCTGCATGCGCCGCGTCTTGGAGGTGGGAGCAGAGCTGAGCGCGCAGCCCGGCCCTGCAGCCTCACAGCGCCGCGTCCCACCCGGAGCTGCTGCAGCCCGGAGAGCAACAAGTCCTCGCAGCCCCAGGTGTTTTATAGGGTGACCTCATTCACTGCCTTCCCCCATCGCAGGAAATGATGTTTATCTCATCTGCTGCCAGCGTCAGAGCGCTTTTCTGCCGCCGCGTCTGGCTCGGTGCTCGGCCACGGATGGAGCTGAGAGCGGCGGCTCTGCTCCCACCAGACCAAACAGGGGGAAAGGCCCCGCAGCCTCGCAGCCCTCCGTGCTCCCGAGCGCTGACAGCCCCTGCCCCGTCCTGCCCACCTCCCTGCCCAGCTCCGCATTCCTGCACCGCTGCTGCGGGGCGGCCGAAAACCTTCCTGTGGAAATCTCTGCTGCTCACAGACACGAAGCAGAGCCGAGCAGCCAAAGCCTTCTGCTCACAGGGACCCCCCCGCGGCTCCCCTCAACCCCACAGGCAGCACCGTGTTGGGGAGAGGGATTTCTTGTTCTCCTTCTGAATAAAAAGGCTCCACCAAAAGCTTTCTGCTGAGCCCGAGAGAACGGTGAGGCCATAAAACTCCTCCTTATTTTACGACCAAGCTGAAGGGTTGGGTTTTTTTGTGGTTTGGGGTTTTGTTTTGGGTTTGGTTTTTTGTTTTGCTAAGAAATGCAACGACAGAATGCTGGGGTCCATTGCTGGAAGATGCCACCCTGCTGCACGCAGATGGAGCCACGGACGGAACTTTTTCAGAGCTCACAATAATGTTTTTACATCCATTATATTCCCGGTCTTACAGAAACGCTTGGGGAGGAGGAAAAAGCAAAAAAAAAAACAAAAATAAAAACAAAAACCAAATCGACCCAAAAGCACCATTTAAAAAACAAAGAAAAAGACACCGGAAAAACAAAAAACCAAAAAACCATTTCTGCACTGCTTATTAAAAAAAGAAAGAGAACAAACAAACGGATCCAGAACAGGCAGCCAGAAAACCGGCGCTGCCCCACGCAGGGCTTTGCTCACGTAACCCTTCGGAGCGATGCAGCCCCTGTGTGCGGTGTGGGGGATCCCCGCTGCCTCCCCCCCCCCCCCTCCACTCTCGCTGTCCCCTTTCATGCAGCAAAACGGCCCCGAGCGCAGCGCTCAGCTCGCAGTCCCGTAAAAAATCCCTGCTAAGAGCCGCTGAATCCGTTTATTTAAGCGGGGGGGGGGGGGACACGAAACGCAGAGCCGCAAATACCGGAGCGCGTTTCTCCCCGTCCCGCACCGCTCCCCGCAGCCGCTGTGCGTTCGCTGCCCCCCACGGCGGAGCTGAGGTCGCTTTGGGGCAGCGATCGGGGTTTGGTTGACCCGGGATCGCAGCACGGCGGCGGCTCACGAAGGGCAGCTGCGGGCTGAGGGCCGCACGCGTTTCCATCGGGGTTCCGTCCGACGGCCGCACCGCGAGGAATTGGGGCATTGATGCCCCCAGTGCGGTGTTGGGGATTTAGGACCGAATTTCTTCCGCTTCCCATGGAGATATTTGCTCTCCCCCCCCCCCGTCCACCCCACTGCCGCCCGCACCGCGGATTCTCTGCCACCGCTTTTATTTTTCCGAGGGCGTACGGCAAAAAAAAAGGGGTTTGCTGTTGGGCTCCGGAGGGTCCGGGCCGCGGCTCACAGCAGAGCCGCAAAATAAATCACAATAAATTAAATTAAATGAGACCACGATGTATCTCAGAACGAAAGGAGATCCGTCAGTTGAGGTCGGAGTCGCCCCGCTGCACCGCGGGCGCTCATTGCGCGGCTGTTCCAGCAAACGCTTCGAGCCGCCGGGGAGCCCCCGACCCACAAAGAGTTCGCATCTTTCTTCCAAACACGGCGGAAAAATAAAGAAAGAACGGATGGGAAGAGACGCGGCCGCCCCAGGCACAGAGCAGCGCGCCGTGAGACCTTTTATATCCGAACGGAGCAACCGAAGGATCTCCGGGTCCAAACGTGGCACCGAGCAATAATTCCTCCCGAAGGCAAACGAAGATTTGGGGGTAGGCGCCCGTTTTGGAAAAGGGAGGAAAACAAAACGTAGCAAAACAAACCACGCATATGCACAAAAATCAATGAAAACGAGCGCTGGTTTCAGCCGAACTCCGCGCAAACGCCGTCCCTGAGAGCATCTTCCAGAAGCGCCCCGATGCCGCCCGCACACACAAAAGGGAAGGCGCGGAGCGGAGCGCACACCGCGACCATTTCACGCAACGCCTCACGCGTGTTCCAATTAGAGCTCCAATAATGACGGTCCGTTCGTGCTCCGCGTGTCACGAATTCGCTGAACTCCCATTTACACGGAACGGGGGGCAGGGAAGAGATCCGGGAGCGCCGCGCCGCATCGCGCAGGGCCGGGGCTCCCCGCCCGCACCGCTCCTCCGGCCCCCGCAGCCCCCGCGCGGTGTCGATCCCGCATCTTTCGTCTGCTGTCCGGGCCGCCACCCGCACGCTGTGCTCCTTTCCCTCTCCCCGCTGCTGTTAAAAACGCCGACAGCAGCGCCCGGTTGCTCCGTGCGGCTCTCACCCCGTGCGGCACAGCGGTCCCTCGTGCTCCTCTCGCTCCCAACAGTGCCCCGACGATGTTTTAATGAGAAAAACTATTTTACGGAGTGGAACCACTGCCGTGTTTGGAAGCAAAGGGTCGGCAAAAATCGGCAGCAAAATCGTGCAGGAGGCGGCTCAGCCCCACTCGGAACCGCCTCGGCCCCGTTCAATGCGTCCTCCCCGCTCCCGGCGAGCTGCGGGACCGCGGCTGCAACCCCAGCATCGCTCCGGTCCCACCGGGGCTCCCACCGCGAACCGCCCGCGGCCGTCGGGGCTCTCCAGTAGCCGTGTGCGCTCGGCCCGCCAGGATCCGCCGCGTTCGTTTCGCCGCCGGGTGTAGCAGCGACCTCCGAGCAGCACCGGAGCCGGAACACCGCGCCGGTTCCTCGCCCCAGTTATCCCCCTTCCCGAGTCGCGCTGTGCTGGCCGTCGCGGGGGACCCGACGGAAGGGAGCCTCGAGGGCAGGAGCCGGGCCCGGCGCCGCGTCCCGCGGGTTCTTACCTTTCTTGATGACGGACTGATCGAGCAGGTTCATCCCGCCGTCGTCCGCCGCCTGGAAGCACCAAAGCAAAAGCCGTCAGCGGGGGCTCCCGGCGCGGCTCCCGGCTGCTGGGCGCGGGGCGACCGCGAGGCCGCGGCGCGATGAAATCGTTCGGCTACGGCCGAGCCCCAGCGCGGCGGCCCCGGGGGAAAGAGCGGAGCGTCGGCCCGGCTTCTCGGCGGCCGCTCGCTGCGCGCTCCCTGCCGGTAGCGGGGCAGGACGCTCCTCGCCCGGAGGTCCGAGCGCCCCGGGGCCCCGCTCTGCCCGCAGGGTCGCTCCCGGCACCAAAGCCGGATCCGGCCGCGTTCCCCCGCGCCCACCCCCCGTCCTCCCCCCCGAGCCCCCGCTACCTGGATCTCCTCGAGGCCGTGGTGCCCGAGGCCGTGCAGGCCCAGCGGGCCGTCGGGGAGGCCGTGCCCGCCGTCGGGCAGGCCGTGGAGCAGGCGGGGCACGGCGGGGTACTCGCGGCGGGGGTCGAGTCCCAGAGCGCGGTGCGTCTGCGAGAGCAGCCCCGCGTCGTCCTGCCGGGAGCGCTGCGGGGGCCAGGCGGGCTGCTGGTGCTGGTGCAGCGGGCTGAGCGCCGCGTACGGGTCGGCCAGGTGCGGGTAAGCGGGCTCCTGGCCCTGCGGGTAGGGCAGCGGCGGCTGCGGGTATGGCGGGGGGAAGTAGGGCGGCTGGAAGTCGGCGGCGGGCGTGTGGCAGAGCGGCGGAGCCGAGCCGTAGGGCGTCTGGTTGAGAGCGGGCAGCTGCGGCAAGCGGGCCCCGGCAGACGCCCCGGGCAGCCCCTCGGCGCGGTCCTGCGGCGGCGGAGACAGCGGCGGTGAGAGGAGAGCGGAGCCCCGGTCCCGGATCCCACATCCCGGCCCCGACCCCGGCCCGACCCCCGGCCCGGCCCGGCGCACACTCACCATGCCCGGGTAGCTGTGCACCAGCATCTGTGCGGGCCCACGGCGAGCCCCGGGCGGGCCGGGCCCCGGGGGTGCCCCCGTCTCCGCCCCTCTATCCCGCCGGAGCGGCGTCTCCCATCGCCCGCCCGCTCCTCTGCGCCGGCCCCGACTCCATGCACTCCAGTTATAGTGGCGGGGGCGCGCCCGCCGCGCCGGGGCCGCGCGTCAGTGCGCGGGGCCGGGAACGCGCCGCCCGCTCCCGTGGGGCCCCGACGACTCCCGACGGGCGGAGGGGGAGAAGGGCGGCCGGGGCCTCTCCGACGCCGTCGGACGGCCGCGCGGCTCCGCTGTCCCACGGGCACGCGCCGTTCCCGCGTCACCCCCCCGGGGCTCCCCCCGACGTCAGCACCCACCGCCCCGGGTCACGTTCCCCGAGAGCCCCGAGGGCCGGGAGAGGGCGGGTGCGGGGAACGGCGGGGCCGACGGTTTCGCTTTATTAACCCGAGCGGAGTGTCGGAGCCGCCGGCGGCAGCCCGGAATCCTCTGCCCGACGGCGGCGGCCGGAGCAGTGCCCGGGGCAGGGACAGAGCCCGGGGATCCCCCCGGGGCGCTCCTCACTTCTGCCCGACGGGCACCGGAGAGAGAACGAGAGGGAGAGAGGAACGTGCGGCGCTACGGGACCGACTGCTGCCCGAGGGGACGGGCGGGACGGAGGGCGCTGCGGAGCGACAGAGCGAGGGGAAAGCGGAGAGCGGGCGGCGTCGTGCGCTCCTCGCTCGGCCCAGCGGCCCTCCCTTCTGTCCTCCATGCGTCCCTCCTCCTCTCCATCCCTCCCTCCTCCTCTCTGCGCCCTCCCTTCGGGTCGCAGCGTGGCAGCGCCGTGTCCCTGCGCGTGGCACGGGGCTCCGGCTCTGAGGTGCCGGGGGTTTTCTCGGCACCGCGCTGCCCCACACCGATGCTCACACGCATGCAGACACTGATGCACACCGACCCACATCGGCACGTTTGCACGCTCGCCCTGGCGCTCCTGCACACGCAGCCGCACGCACGCATGCAGGTTCCGCGGTCCCGCATCCTCACCGTGCCGGGACCGCGCTGCCCATCGCCGTGCCGGAGTTCCAATTCGTGGCAGAGCGTAATTTGTGTGCGAGCAGAAAACAAACACTTTACCCTAAACTGTAATACACTGTGATGTGTGATAGACGTTAACAAACACAATCCCACATTACATTTAATTTAATTCCGCTCTTCCTGCCCCGAGCTACGGCTCCCTTCATTTTCATTTTTCTTCTGAATTCCCACATCTCAGACCTCTTTGATTTCCAGGTTTAATTAACAATGCTCATTAAACGAATTTTTATTCATTTCTTTCAATATTACCCCGCCACCTGTCTTTAGGAGGCAAAGACTCATCATTTATTCTAATTTATTTCTGTTAAAGATGGCATTTAGGAGAGGGAGGAGGGGTATGAGGAGGTAAAGGGCCGATGTGCTCACATCTTTCCTTCCCCCCCCCCGATGCTTTTCAAGGACGTTGCTCCTGAAAGTCCCGTGTTTATTTTCCACCAGATCCATTTCATTTGCTGAGAAAAATCGGATTGGACATGCTGTATTTCGCAGCGATGTTCCAGTTCATTCTTAGAGTCCCTCAATAATGCCCACTCTTTATTCATCTGGAAGAGGTGAACCTGCGGAATGCGGCGAGTGGGGAAGTTGTGCTTCCATCCTCAAATGGGAACGTGCAGCTCTGGGCAGACCCTCACTGCCCCCATCCCCTCCTGCAGCACGAGGCTCCTGCAGTGCCAGAGAGCAGCCTTAGGAAAGACCTCATCTCCTTTCCAGTGCTCTTGGGATGACACGAAGACACGGCGAGGTGAAACAGCCGAGGTAGGGCTTGCAATGGAATGGTGACATTTTAGCTGTGGCGGATGTGCCTCTGCTCGTTTGGGGCCTTTTGCATGTTGTCCAAGCTGTGGGAAGGGATTGGTTCCTGCAGAGCTCGCCCCGGTGTTGCAGATGGGCTGGTAGACAACGCGCTGCTTGCTGCCTGCCCCAGGTCCTGCAGTCCTGCTCTGTGAGGGGCACAGCAGCTCCTGGCAGCAGCACCCATAGCTGGGCTGGTAGAGCTCAGTGCGGCTCACCTTCAGAGCTCCAGCCCAGCTGCAGCCCATGTTTTGCACCACGAGGAGAGCTGGCAGACCTGCAGGTGGACACAGCCCTGGGTGGCAGAGCCCGACGGCATTAGGCCATGTGCTGCTCCTGGGCTGTGCTGCTCTGCCAGAGCCTGAGGGGGTCAGCCTGGAGATAGAGGTGGTCAGTCTGGGCAGGGGGTCAGCCCAGAGGGGGCTCTGGCTGAGCAGAGGGTTGTCTCATCCTCACCCTGTCCTCTGCTGGCCTTCAGGAAGGCATTTCATGGCACAGAAAATGATGCATTGTGTCCCGAGCATCCCTGAGCAGGTCCAGCTCTGGATGGTCCTCACACCATGGGCCGCTGTGCTGAATTTGGGACTCATGCAGCTCAAACCTGCTGCCCAGCACTTGGAGGATTTCTGGGGCTCTGGGTTTGCTGCCAGGGAGCGCAGCTGGGTGTTAGCAGGCAGTTTGCTTGGGCACTGAAGGCAACAGGGAAGGACCTGAGGTGTGGGACTGCTCCGGTCCTGGATGGGGCCAGGTAAATGTGGGGCTAATGCTGTCAGCCCAGCATTACACAAACATCCCTGAGCTGGGGGCACTGGGGAGCTCCCACCTGCTGATACAGCCACCTATCTCTCATTAATGCTAACGATAGCCTTTGATTAGCAATCCCACAGCCTTCGGTTGGAAGCATTGCGTTGTGTGGGATTGAGAAGAGCTGAGGTTGAAGAATCTGATGGGTTGGATTGTGATGATTATTTTATTCCTGACGATTCTGAGACGTGTTTCTATTGCCCTGCGCTGCAGGATGAGCTGCTCCTGGCAGGATGGGAAGCCTGCAGCCCACGCACACCAGGTTTGCTCTTTTCCCACTCCAGCACTCTCATTTGCTTGCTTGGCTTGCTCTGCTTGCTGGTAGCACCTACCTTTGTTTCAACTTGCATTAACGTTTCAGGGCTGAGCTGGTGAGATCAGGAAGATACCTGATCAACAGCAGATGCCTCCTCTCTGCTTATGTAAGGCGCTGAATTTGAGCTGGATACGTGCATTAAGCTGGGCTCCCTGTAGTCAGCCCTCCTTTCGGGGCAGCTCCCCGCCTGTTTTTCTCTCCATCATCCCATCCCGCAGCCCCCAACCATGCAGGGCAGCAGGATCAGTGCCGCGTCCAGCTGCCGGCCGGGCTGCCTCTCCCACAGAGCTCCTATGCTGACACCTGGTGGAAATGCCTCGAAACGCGCTGGCAGAGCTGCGGGCTGGGTGAAGCCATCCTCGGCTCGTCCAGCTCCTGCTCTGCCCCAGCCAGGCTGCTGCCTCTGCTTCCAGGGCACCCTGACAAAGCCCTGATGGTATATTCCTCCACCGTACAGATGCGTGTGCTTTTACACCTGGGTTCCTTCTGCCATAAATCAAACGGTAATTCTCCATCTGCTGAGATGCTGAGGTGTAGTTCGCTTGATTTTGTTTTCATAGCATTTACCCGAGGCTCTATGAAGAGGGAAGGTCTTTGCAGGCTGAACGACCCCTCTTCCCTGCAAGAGCAGGAAGCAACCCTTGCACATCCATCCCTGCAGCAAAGAGTGTAAGCAAACACCACAAAGCCTTGTGCAGCTGTTACAGGGTGAATTTGGGACGATGGCACTATCGTGGATGTGAACAGAAGGGCCTTTCTGCACCCCCACACATGTAGAAAGGGACAGATTGCTGCTGAATTTCATAGTTATCCTTGCTGTTACTGTTAAAAGTTCAAGCTCTTCCCGTTGCTGCTTTTTTTGCAGTCTTCTACCTGTCATGCAAAACCACTTCAGTGACACGCAGGGCTTTCGCAGAAAGTAAGGTGACATCCTGAAGGGGTGCCAAAATTGGGAAGTGTGTTAGAGAAAGAGGAAACCTCTGAGGGCCTTGGGCAGAAATCCCAGTGTTGCATGTTTGGAAAAGGAACAGAAAACCTCTTTAATAGTCAAATGATCTGGTTTTAAAACGAAATGCTGACAGAAGATAAATGAGGTACATCTGGAAATGTTCTGAAGCAGCAATAGTTGTGTGTGTCGGGTTCTGGACAGAGAGAATCCTGCAGAGCTCTGCTGCATTGCTGACTTTATGAAGCTGGTCACTTAAATGTTTCTTGTCCTCAGTGGCACCAAAAGGTGCATGAGGAATGCTGCGGGTGTCTGGCTTCATGTCCCACACCAGGGCGCTGCTGAAAAACGGCTCTTTATTGCTTGGACAGACACTGTTCCAGAGCTGCCATCCCATAAAGGTTGGCCCACTCCTCCCCATGGTGTGACAGGATCACTTCCCTGCACGGCTCACTGGCTCTGGCCAGCTCAACCAGCACAGCCTGCAAAGCAGCAATGAGCTCAAAATCCACCGAGGCTGCAGTGACGCGTGTCAGTAACTCTGAGAGCTCCTCCAGCCACTGTGCCTGGAGCACAGCTTCTGGCAGCCAGGGGAAGAGAGACACACAGCTGGCCAAGGCCTGCATCCCCAGGAACCAGAGCTCACGGATGTCATCCCAGGCACTCACATAGGCAGGGGATACGGCCAGAGCCAAGCCGTGGCTACCAGGGTCTGCTTGGGCCGTGTGAGCCTGGGACAAGAAGCAAATGGTGGCTTTGAAAAACTCCTTTGCAGAGCCAGATTTCTGAAGAACTGAAAGAGAGAGGAAAGAAATGAGTTGATAAAATACTTGGCCAAAGGAGGGACCCTTTGGTGGGCTGGCCTGCAGCAGGGCTTTCAGGGAGAGCAGAATACTGTGCTCCACGCTGCTTCCCAGCCATTCAGCCTGCATACTGCTTTCTCCTCTGGGATTCTGGTTTTGTCACACTTCCAATGACAAAAGCCCTATGTGAAACTGGGGCTGTTCCCCTTACATTCTGGGGTCTTCAGTCTGTGCAATGTGCAGCTCTGCCACCAGG